TCATTTTCCCTTTTGCATCCCCAAAAGGTGAATTTTGCCAGATGCATACTAAAATCGATGACTAATTGGCAATATATGAAATATTAGATATTACACCCGAAAATTGATGTTAGGTCTTATGATGCATTGTGCCAATAAATTAATAAAATTAGCTTAAGAAATTATTTAGACAAATCATTCCTTTCAACTACTACTTTAATTTTATCAATAAGTAAATAAAGTGGAAATTATAGGAATCACTACTTTTCAAGATTCAAGTTCAAATATCAGATGTCAAGTTTTAATTTTCAAAAATCAGATATTTTATATATAGATACAGATTTTTTTATATTTAATTAAATATTAATAATAATAATAATGTTATGAAAATTAATATATATACACCCACCCCCACCCCACCCCACCCCACCCCACCCCAAATTAATTTTCAACCTTAAATTCACGTCCCTCTCTCTCTCTCTCTGTCTCTCACTATCCTATCTCTCCCTCCTCTCTCTCTTCATCCAAAATTGCAGCCGCTGCGAAGGTCACCGCCTCCTCAAAAAACCTCAAACCCCTTCACACGTCAACACCACACGCACCTATCAATTTGGCCACCGCTGTAGCAACGGTCGATTTATGGATGTCGTCGCTGCAGCCACGAAGTTGCGATCTGAGCAATGTCGTTGCTACCGCAACGGTCGATGCGCTCCACTGAGAGTCATTTGCAACCACGATTTTGTTGATATGGACAGTGGTGATGGCGGCGGCATGTGATGCGATCTGGTTTTGGTGGCAGTGCAGTGGTGGGTTGCAGTGGCAATGTTACAGGTGACCTGTAATTTTTGTTGGTGGTAGGCGATCTGGTTGTGGTGGTGGGGATGATTTTGTCTGCGGTAGGCGACTTAATTTTTGGGCGATGGTTTGGTTGGTGTTTGGACGACTACTGTTGGTTTGCGAGGTTTGGTGGTGGTAATAGTGATAGTGATGGTGGTTGTCGTGACAATTGTGGTGGTCGTGGCTAGCCGTGCTCGGGAGTTGAATGAGATGGGGTTTGAGGTGGTGGTGGCGATAGCGGTTTGATGGTGAGGTGGTGCTAGCTTGTAGGCAGTTGAAGCTATTGATAAATGTGTTTTGCGCACTTAATTATGATACTAAATATATTGATTGTTAGTATAAAATGCTCGAAAAGGACTTAATTCGTTATATATTGTCTTTGTAGGATTACTTTAATGAAATGAACGAAATATACGTGAAAAATGGCAAAAAGGACTAAAATGCAAGTCAACGAAGGTTCAGGGACTAAACTGCAATTATTTAAAAGTTGATCCAAATGATGAATCAAGCATGGACTTCTACGAAGGAGCTAATTTTCGATTACATGGATGACTAGAAGTAGAAGGAAGAGGAAACAAGGCTTAAAAGTGCATGGAAAGAAAATTGAGGACCAAATTGAACAACCAAAAGTAACCTCATTCCTTGCGATCGCCCAGCCATCAACAGGAATACCAAGGGAGCAAATCAGTTGGCCCTTGTGATCGCAAGGGATCCTTCTGTGCGATCGCATATGGTATTTTATACGCGAAAATTTTAGTTTCCTTTTTCGAATCAACCACTTATGGAATGATATCTTGAGACTCTATTTAAACCAAATAGTTGTCCAGAATTAGGTTTATGCATTCTTTGAGAGGAAAAAGGCAATTTTTAGGAGCAAGGAGAAAAGCTTGAAACTAGGGTTTCTCCTCAAGATCGAAAATTCGAGCTTTAACTTCTATTCTTTTGGTAATGTTTTCTTTCTATCAATTTTGTTGTTATTTTCTTTTCCCCATGTTAGGCTAGACTTTTTATTTACTAGGTGAACGATGAACCTCGCATTGTGATCTTTTAATTTTTATTTTGTAATTTGACATTTAAACACGTTTGATGGTTATTGAATGATTTATATACACTTTTTGTCTCCATGATTATAGTGCACGATAATTGTGTGAGTTTAGGTGGTTTATTTTATACATTCGAAAGAAGGGAAATAAACTCAACAAGGTATAAATCATCGTTTTGTTCATAGAGGATAGAAATATACCGATATGCATTACGTGAATCTCTAAATGTTTACAAAACCACATGCATTCTTATATATTGCATTTGTCATAGAAATATAGTCAAATGGTATACTAGAATAGGTTCAATTCTACTCGAAAGAGATTGTTGGATAGATTAGAAACATTGATTTTTCAAACGTTTCATCGTGTTGTCAAATTGTGAAATAGGGGTTAAGAGTGAACTTTGCTGGTGATTCGGGATCCTAGTACGATTTTTCATATATTAATTTCTTCAACTTTTACATTCAACCATTATTTTATATTTAGATCAAAATTTTAGTTTAATTTGCATGCTAGTCTTAATTTTATCATAAAATCACAAAAACAATCATCTCGAATTTAATAGATTCGATTAAGGTCGAGATAATAAGAAATCACGTTAAATCAATCCTCGTGGGAACGATACTCGAAATTTTACAATTTTCACTTTATTACTTGTTAACGATTCGTACACTTGCGGTGATTTAAATCCGAAACATNCTTACTTGCCTCCACGATTATAGTGCACGATAATTGTGTGAGTTGGGGTGGTTTATTTTATACATTCGAAAGAAGGGAAATAAACTCAACAAGGTATAAATCATCGTTTTGTTCATAGAGGATAGAAATATACCGATATGCATTACGTGAATCTCTAAATGTTTACAAAACCACATGCATTCTTATATATTGCATTTGTCATAGAAATATAGTCAAATGGTATACTAGAATAGGTTCAATTCTACTCGAAAGAGATTGTTGGATAGATTAGAAACATTGATTTTTCAAACGTTTCATCGTGTTGTCAAATTGTGAAATAGGGGTTAAGAGTGAACTTTGCTGGTGATTCGGGATCCTAGTACGATTTTTCATATATTAATTTCTTCAACTTTTACATTCAACCATTATTTTATTTTTAGATCGAAATTCTAGTTTAATTTGCATGTTAGTCTCAATTTCATCATAAAATCACAAAAATAATCATCTCAAATTTAATAGATTCGGTTAAGGTCACAATAATAGAAGTCAAGTTAAATCAATTCTNATAAGAAATCACGTTAAATCAATCCTCGTGGGAACGATACTCGAAATTTTACAATTTTCACTTTATTACTTGTTAACGATTCGTACACTTGCGGTGATTTAAATCCGAAACATATTTTCGTGAACAACCGTGTTTTTTTTTTTATGGTGGTGGTGCGGTGCAGGCAATGGTCTGGTGGTTGTGGTGGTGTGGTGTGGTGTGGTGTGGTGTGGTGGGTGCGGGCGTCAATTGTTTGAATCGGTGTGATTCGTGACCAAATGTGACCGTATAATGGACTACCTGTGACCTTAAAATTCGACAATTTATGACTAAATATTAATCTGTGACCAATAAATTTGAAAATATGTGACTGATAGATAACTGTAATCTGTAATTTTTTTATCCGTAACCAATAAAATAATATGTGACCTATAAAATTATTGATTTGTCACCTCGAAATAATCCGTGGCTTGCAAAGTTTTTGATCTGTGATCGATAAACAAATTGTGACCTATAAAATTTTTGAACTGTGACCTCGAAATAATCCGTGACGTATTAAATTTTTAATTTGTAACCTCGTAATAATTTGTGAACTATAAAAAATTTTATTTGTAACCTCAAAAATAATCTATGACCATATTATATAAATCTGTGACAGTCACCAGAATAGTCGCGTGAAATTGGATCTGTCGCTGGAACAGTCATTGAAATAGTCGTCGGAGTAGTAGGAGTGGTGAAGTTAGGGTGGGTTAACTATATATATTTTCAAAAATAACAAACTCGTTGAATTTTTTAAAAAATCAGGGGATCACATTTTATAATCTCTATTAAAATATTATGACTTATAATTTAATTAAACAGATTACTATCAAATAATACTAGTTCAAATCGCACAAGATGACAGTCATAAAGACAATTTATGAGCCACAATAACATATTTTAGTCATAATCATGCATTATTTAATAAGTTACAAATCATTTATTAGTCACAAATTACCCAATTAACTAGTAACAATCACTCTTCATTTCATCACACCCAACTGCACCAACATCGGTAACATCCATTGTCACCACCCCCACTTCAAATCCACCACATCTCGTCCTCCAACCCACCATAGCGGCCACCTGAACTTCAAATACACAACCACCACTACCAAGCATCTACACCCAATACTACCCCTTCGTCTGGCTCTCGCTTTTTCGATATGTGTGATCCATGTCCACCTCCCTCCATCTCAACTACCACCATGTGTGGTTCCCATTGCTGTTGGGGTTAGGATCTCTTTTCCAATGTTTCTACCAATATTTCCACCTCCAACCCTCCACCATCACTTGCTCATCAATCCACCACCACCAGACTACAATAAATCATCGTCGTGCTTAGCCAATTGGCGGCAGCAACGAAAGTAGCGCGATAGAGAGAAGCGTAAGTGGCAACACACCCAAAAGCAACGTGATGCGACAACACACTCAATAGCAATAGTAGCGGCAAATTTTTTCTTCCCTACAACTGAAGTATCATTATTTTAGGGTCTGGTATAATTTTCCCTTTGTTTTTGTTTAGGTTCATTTTCTCAAAAAAAATCAAAAAAATTTAAAAGGCTCGCATGCGGGTCAACCCAAAGCACGGCTTATCCCAACCTTGGGCCAGGTCGTCCTGCATGGACTTGCACCTCTAGGCTATTATAGCATCTAAAAGGCAACAGATAAAAGGTACAATCCAAATTATATACATTGACAACAGGATTTCATCATAAGTATTGCCAATGAAGGTAAATTCTTGTCATTTACAGACAACTGTTATCCTCTTATATTTTATACAATTATAAGAACCTAAGAGATTACATGTTGAATAGACACATGATATATACACGGAGAATTCTCAACAAATTTATACAGAAAATAGAAGGCACGCTGCCCTATCTAGGTCTGGTTTCGGTTTTCAGAAAGCAAATATGTTCTTGCTGCATCATTGGCCCTCCATTCACTGGATCAAAACTGCATCTGTAAAAACTGATAGTTGAGGGAAGAAAGAAACAAAATGAGATAACTGGATTTGATGAACTTCAACGTCTACTTCTAATGTGACAGCTAACAGAAAACTGATGCCGAATTGTCAGAAATGAATTCAACTTTCAGTTACATGTGCAAAGCTAATGTTAGAAGTGTCGAACTACTGTATGAGAAAGGAAAGATGATGACAAACTTCTCCTTACCTCCCATCCAAGCCCACAATAATGACTGTGTTCTGAGAACCAAATGCTGTCATGAATTGGGTACATTCTGGTAAGTGAAACTGAGCAAATGACCATTCTGAGCTGAAATATTTAGGTAAAACCCCTGGAAAAGTTCGAAAAACACGATACTTACAAATATTTCATCATAAGATCTGCTAAATGCCTCAAATTTAATGGACCAAAGCAGAATTTTACATAAAGCAATCACGTCGAGGAAATCATGCAGGTTTGGCAATATCTTAGTTAAAAGCAATGTTTGAGTCACATCTTTAGAAGGCTCTAGTTTGTGTAAAAACATCATTTCAAGTCAAGCTGTCATCTGATAAGCCCCCTATCCGGTTCACATATTCTAGAAGGCCCAAGAAGGAAGGTGTGACAGATGGAGGGAAGGAAAAACAGAATGAGGTTGGAAGGGAAAGTGGTTAGGAAAGAACGAGTATAAATAAAGTTAGTCAGAGAGGGAAACGTAGGCAATTATTGAGTAGGGGAAAGGAGTCTAGTTGCTATTTTCTTATATGTAATTCTCTCATTTTCAATCAAAGATCTATTATCCATTCAATTCTTCTTTCTTTTCAGTTTGAACATTATCAAATTGGTATCAGAGAAGTAGATCCTGATGGCTCAAAAGAAAACCGAAAGTAAGGTGGAAGCTATGGAAAAAGAAATGGAGGAAGTGAGGATAGAACTCCAGAGGTTACCTGGTCTGGAGAAATGGGTGGAACAACTCACACAGAATTTAGCCAGAATTCTGCAATCCCTGGAAGAAACTCAAAAGGCGGTGATGATGCTGGGAAATTCGAAACCAGGGGGGATTAAAAAATTTGGAAGGAGGGAGTTCTGGCAGTGTCACGGAAGGACCTGTTACAACAAGTGCAATTAGGACTGACCCACGAGTTCCGGACAGGGGAAGGTGGCCGGAAGGGCTAACTGAGATTGAGATTGAGAGGCTAGTGAAAGAAATGCTAGCAGCAGGTATAATCCAGCAAAGCGTTAGTCCTTTTTCGAGTCCAGTATTGCTCGTCAAGAAGGACGAGAGTTAGCGCTTCTGTGTTGATTATCGAGCCTCAACAAGGTTACCATTCCAGACAGATTTCCTACACCAGTGATTGATGAACTGGACTTGAAGTCGGGGTATCACCAGATCAGAGTACGCAAAGAGGACATCCCTAAAACAACATTCAGAACTCACGATGGGCATTATGAGTTTCCGGTCAAGCCGAATGCTCCGGCCACCTTCCAGTCACTAATGAATCAGGTTTTCAGGGAGTTCTTACGAAAGTTTGTCTTAGTATTCTTCGACGACATCTTGGTTTACAGTCAGGACATCAGTTCACATGTACAACACTTGGAGATGATGTTTAACGCATTGAAAGCACATCAGCTATATGCTAATGTCAAGAAGTGTTCATTCACAAAACCGAGGATAGAGTACTTGGGCCATTTAGTGTCGACTAAAGGAGTAGCCGCTGACCTTAGCAAGATAGAGGCGATGTTGCAATGGCCTACCCCACGGACACTCAAGGAACTCCGAGGGTTCATGGGTTTAATAGGATATTATCGGCGTTTTGTCGCGGGTTATGGAGCGATTTCGTGGCCCCTCACCCAACAACTAAAGAAGGATGCCTTTGGGTGGACATCTGAGGCAGAAGAAGCATTTAAGAAACTTAAGAAAGCCATGACTACGGTGCCTGTTTTAGCTCTGCCTGACTTCACAAAGGACTTTGTGATTGAAACCGATGCATCAGGGTATGGACTGGGAGCGGTGCTGATGCAGAACCAGCAACCCATTGCCTGTTTCTGTCAAGTTTTATCCCCTCGGTCTCAGCAGAAATCAGTATATGAAAGGGAGTTAATGGCAATAGTGTTGGCTATACAAAAATGGAGACATTACATGGTGGGGCGCCGATTTATAGTGAAAACTGACCAACGCAACCTCAAATATATGTTGGAACAGAGGGTGGTGCCTGGAGAATTCCAGCGTTGGGTGACCAAATTGATAGGTTACGACTTCGAGATTCAATATCGTCCGAGGATAGAAAACAAGGCAGCAGACGCCTTATTGCGTGTTCTTCCTCAAATTAAGTTAGCGGCTATCACTCGCCCAATTGTGGTTGATGTACGATCGATATTAGAACAAACCGAGGCAGACCAAAGGTTTGCAAAAATCAAGAGAGAACTTCAAAATGACTCGGACTCCCAACCACGTTATTCTCTGGACCAAGGCCGGTTACTGTACAAGGGGCGCCTAGTTCTGCCCAGTTCATCGACTTGGATCCCCACCTTCACGAATTTCACAGCAGCTCAATTGGAGGGCATTCAGGCTTTCTTCGGACGTACAAGCGGATCACGAGTAATTTGTATTGGAGAGGTATGCAAAGCATCATCAAGAAATTTGTAGATGAATGCTCGGTGTGTCAACTATCGCCCGCGTGTCTCCTTCAACCCCTTCCCATTCCTAATCTAGTGTAGGAGGATATGTCAATGGACTTCATCGAAGGGTTACCTAAATCAGGGGGATACGATTCAATATTGGTAGTTGTTGATCGGCTGAGTAAGTACGGCCACTTCATTCCCCTCAAGCACCCGTTCACAGCAGCAGGAGTGGCAGCAGTCTTTGTCAAGGAAGTGGTGAAACTCCATGGCATCCCACGGTTCATCATATCTAATCGAGATAAGATATTTTTAAGCCATTTTTCGACAGAATTATTCAGATTACAAGGCACAACTCTACGGCGCAGCACAGCCTATCCCCAGACGAACGATCAGACTGAAGTGGTCAACAGATGTGTGGAAACTTATCCGAGATGTTTCACGTACGAGAAACCTCAAACTTGGTGCAGTTGACTACCTTAGGCCGAATATTGGTATAATACCACCTTTCATGCTTCCACCAACGCTAGTCCTTTCCGAGCTGTTTACGGAAGAGACCCCCCGCCACTGATCCGTTATGGCACCCAGAAGACAGCAGTAGTATCGGTTGAGCAACAGTTGATAGAAAGGGACATGATAATAGAAGAACTAAAAGCACACCTCCTACAGGCTCAAGCAAGAATGCAGAGGGAGGCAGACCAACATCGAAGAGACGTTAAATTCGTGGAAGGGGACTTCGTTTATGTAAGGCTACGACCCTATCAACTATGGTCTTTGGCAAAGAAACCAAACGAGAAATTGGGTCCCAAATTCTTCGGTCCCTTCAAAGTAATCAGCCGCATAGGACCAGTTGCGTACCGCTTGGAGTTGCCCTCTGATGCTACCATACATCCAGTCTTTCATGTGTCACAACTCAAAAAAGCACTCGGGCGGACAGACACTAGACTACAACTCCCAACCCACTTAGACGCTACGCTTAAGTTGATGGTTGAACCTGACAATCCTGGAGATACGCCCAGTTGCTGCAACACCACCCCCAGGGAAGGAGCTACTCATACAATGGAAGGGTCTACCTGCTTCTGAAGCTTCCTAGGTGTCTACTGCATCTATTATTCAACACTTTCCTCATTTTCACCTTGAGGACAAGGTGGTTTTGGAAACCGGGGGTAATAATAAGCCCCCTATCCGGTTCATATATTCTAGAAGGCCCAAGAAAAAAGGTGTAACAGATGGAGGGAAGGAAAAACAGAATGAGGTTGGAAGGGAAAGTGGTTAGAAGTCAGTTAGAAAAGAATGAGTATAAATAAAGTTAGTCAGGGAGGGACACGTAGGCAATTATTGAGTAGGGGAAAGGAGTCTAGTTGCTATTTTCTTATCTGTAATTCTCTCATTTTCAATCAAAGATCTATTATCCATTCAATTCTTCTTTCTTTCAGTTTGAACCTTATCGTCATCGAGCTCAAGTCTACGCAAATAGTTATTTACAGACAGAATAAGTTTCAAATATCAAATGCTTATTTCACCTTTCAGGAAAGACAATGATGAGCTGGGATTAGCACCAGTATTTGGCGAGAGGAGACCATCAAGAGAGTTTGAAGAACCTTGATGATATAATGCTGAACCATTTACACCAGTGACCTCAGTTGACAGGTCATCACCAACTACCCGCACTCTGAGACTGAATATGTGGACAGTGCCTTTGTCACTCGACACGGCCAACCACTGAACATTTGGAGATAGGGCAATACTGTATATATCTGCTCTGTCTACCCCTCTGCGTACCTGTAACAAGCAAAAGCAGTAAAATATGAAAGCCTCACAAGGGCATGATCCATGAGTCAAAAGCCATGAAAATACGAACAAAATTAAGACCCACTTGAGATCACATTTCGTGTAAACAAAGCACAAGTCAATGATACAAATAAGAGCAGTATTTGTCAACTCTTTTCACCAGAAATGTGGATCTGTTTGTACTGAGCAAGAGATAGAGAGAGAAAAGGATGGAGATTGACCACAAGACCATGACATAACAGAACTTAAAACCAGGTGTCATTCTATATGTTCAAAATGTGCAACATAAAACAGGCAAGGTTTCAAGTGATGTAAAATCTTGATACATAGTTCCATTGGGATAACGCCTATTTTGTATTACAATCCTTAAGAAGATTCAGAAGTATCGTGAATGGTTCGAGTTAGCCACTGTATACGTTCTCAATGCCATTCTATATGTTATCAATGTGCAATATAAAACGATAGGCATGTTAGAAATGGCTTTATATTGTGTCCAATGACTACTATCTTATGTCCAAATTCTGATGCGGGAACACTAGAAATGCAAGAGAAAAGGGTGATCACTGAAATTATCGCCCTGCAATTGTCAAAGGGTAACAAAAGATCTTCAAAGAACATAATGGTTTTTGTTCACAAAAATGAAGGGTTAATTTCTCTAATGGTTACTGAAGTATGTGTAAAATTATAAAATGGACGTTAAGTATTTGTCACTCGTATAGTCACTAAAGTTAATAATAGTTTTACTAATGGTCACTCGGTTTCACAATCGGTAACTCATATTTAAATTACGTTATGGAAAATTACAGTTGTGATCTCTAACCTTTATGAGAGGTACAAATGAAACCCTAACCTTCAAATCTTGACACCACAGTCCTCAACCTCCTATTACATAGCAAACCAGGTCTTTGCAAACTAAATCTCGCTAAATAAATGTTCAAATGGCATGTGCATTGCACAAGTCTTACTTTGTGACGGGCAAACAAGTAGATACTTAATTTTAATTAAATGGAAAAAAGCAAGCAAACAAAACTCTTCGTGTCGCCAATGTATTTGTAATATGTTGGGGAGGGCAATTGTTGACCGCTAATCGTGGGACTTGGGAGACTTACTTTTTTTCCGTTTTATTATTTTCTTATTCTCAATTATTAAAAGGGTATGTTATCATTTTAGCATAAAAAAAATATACATCATGTGTCACTCAAAGTCTATTTATCTTTACAAAAAAATAAAAAATAAAAAATCCTCAAGTCAAATCAGATGGATTTTGTCTGCAAAGACCTCTTCTGTTACATTAAACAAAAGTTGAGGACTATGGTGACAATATTTGAATATTTGGAAGATATTCGCAATTTTCCCTCACTTTTACTAACCGAGTGACCACTAGAGAAAAATTAACTTTACTGACTATATGGGTAAGAGAAATACTTTAATGACCATTCAGAAATTTCTCACATACTTCAATGATAGTGAAATTAACCCAAACATGAAACTATTATAAACGGTAAAAACCAATGGTCCGAGCTTCTTCCTTTCACTTCAATTATTTTAAATGCCTTGTATATTTGGCGATTCATGAACTTGAAAGGACTTTCACAAGGAAATAAAGCAAGTGAAATACCTCTTGTAACCGAGTTCCATCCATTGTGTTGAAAATTCTTATCAAAGTGCCTCTTATGCTGGCAGTTGCAAGAAGAAGTCCATCCATTGTCAAGGTCATGGAAGCTATCTGAGAGTCATGGCCATTGATAAATTTTGTCATATTCAGGCCAAAATGTTCAACCCTGACCTGTCCTCGTCGTAGACCAGGGCAGGCCAACACAGATGTATTCAAGTGGTGTGAGAGGCAACAAAGTCCCCTGGGGTTTGCCAGAGTCTCTATTTGGTGAAGAAGCTTCAAATCCATAAAATTGTAAACATATATCTTGTGTTCAACGACAATAACAACACGATCCTTTCTTAGTTTAACTGCACGAACCTCAGATCTAAACAAGAACTCACTAATGCACCGACTCTGATGATCATCCCATATAATCACTTTGTTTGGAGGATACTGGGCATTGGTTTTACTTCCGACAAGTGCTAAAATATTGCATCTGAACAGCATCTCAACAATCTTAAATCCCCCACTTTTTAGATCTCGCCTGAAGGTTTCTTTGAAATGATCACAGTTATAGATGCGAAAGCCGCGGCTTGTACCAGCAGCAAAGCAACTGTAATCCTGGTTCCAAGACAAAGAATACAACTCAGTTTCTTCATTATCATTGAGCTTTGGTAGTGAACAGTCAAAAGAAGCTGAAGGCCCAGCAACGGATGATTCATAAACACCAAAACCTGCTGGTGGAAGTACCACTTGAGATTTTGAAACAGATGAAGTCATGGGAGACGATTGAATAGTCATCAGCACTGGAGCAACAAAACAAAGTTCAAGTTAAAGATGGAAGACGACTTGGCTATCAGAGATACGATGCATCTGCAGAATACAATCTCTACAATTTAATTGATTCTCTTTCTAAGTTAAACATCTATACATCATGGATTCTTTAGCTTCTTACTCATTTCCATGAATATCAAATCAAGAAACAACAGCATCTAACATCCGCACATCATGAATTCTTTAGCCTCTTATACATTTCTATGAATATCAAATCAAGAAATAACAGCATCTTCCAGAATGTTTCTTGGGGCCATTCTGCAAGTTTGAAGTCACCAAACCATAGTCGAGATATTCATTTTAGTCACCATAGTCGAAAAGAATTCATGTCTGTCAATTTCAGCAATGTCATCCCAAGTTGATTTTATTATCCAAACATCAACATATAAAGCTAATCCAACAATTCCAATATCGAATTCCCCATTAAGTTCTAAGCATTTTAGAGGTGGTAAAACATTTAAAATAAAACCAGTGAATAAAGATTTAAGGAAAATACACAAATTAAGAATAATTGGATCCCTAAAAACAATATGCAATCCTTTATATTTAGCGATAAAAAAAATCGATATCAAATCAACACGATCAAACTACGAACACAATTACTCAATAACTACTTGAAGAGTTTCGATGCTTATATTATTCTCTAAATTCTACACACTACCCATTAATTAACACGAAATCATTCACTTAGTCTAGATTCAAGAAACGCTTACATTTTATCCATCGTCAAAAGTAATAATTCAAACACCTGCAATCTTCTGATAATTTGGTCCATTAAATCCCTTTTTATTTTGGTCAGAACCCACAAAATCTCAAAATCTAAACAGTTATAGCCTTATAGGGTATATGTGTGCGCGTATATATGAGTTATAATTATACATATGAAGGGTGTGATACTTCACCTGCAGGTGCTGAATTTAAACTTCTATAAGGCGCCCCAGATTTTCCAAATCATAAAGAGATTCAGAAAGAGATCTTTTCCATCGAGATCCAGAGAGAGAGAGAGAGAAATGGCACGTCATGACAGAAATCTGAAGGTATCGACTTACATATTTGGGATATCGGTTTTGCAGCGGTACATCAACATGTACGTATGTACAACTTTTCAAAATGCCCAAGTCAAGGCACCCTTTTTTCATTTGACCCAAAAATTTTAACCATTCACCACAATAGCC